TCATATATACATGCATTCATATACACATACATTCATATATAGATTTCTGAATCCGGTACCGATAATTCAGAAGATACTACGTAAGATTTAACCTATAATTCAAGGACAATTAAAATCAAATTCTTATTAATTAATTTGCATAAGTAAAAACAAAAGTATTATTTAGCTTTAAATCTACATCTTTTGATAACAAAAAACATATGCAAAATAATTGTACTTATAGTGAAAATAAAACAAAAATTGTTATTTTTTCACTCTTTTTTTCTAACACAGTGCAAGTCATTCCATTATATTAAAATTTTATTAAAACACAGTAACTGGATTTTTTCCATTAAAGTCAACAGCCTTTATATAGAATCACATAATATTAGATTCCTACTTTACTGAAATTTTTATTTATATGAATTTATGGGGAAATGCCAGAATAAATGCAAAAAAAACCATTGAATTTCTTAAAAAATCTAGATTTGTTTTCAATAAAAAGTTTTTAAGGTATATCAATTTCGTGCAGTTTTTTCCCCTATTAAAGGAGCTAACCTAAGAGACCTATTTCATTTACATATATCTCATTAATATGTTAAAAATATAGCTTAAGTAAGTTTTATGTGCATACTGAAAGGCAGGGGAAAGCCTTGATTCAAAACCTGTTTTAAAGCAGTAAGTAAATAAATAAAATACACTGCTTCTATTAGCATCTCAAAAAATAGTGTTTGGGCTTCTAAAAACAAATCCCAAGCATCACATCATGATAGATAACAGTCTTACGAAAGAAGAAATATCTGATTAGCAATACACTCTTTATATTTATTTGATAACGAAGACTAAAACATATATGCAACATCACATTATGAAAAATCATGCAAATCATTACAATACTGTAAGACATTGATTAGTAAGATAAACATCAGTTGATCATTCTTTCACAGTAGCAATAAATTTTTCATTCAAATTCTTAAAAATATGCCAAAACAAATTTACTATTGGTGCTTAAGATTTAAGGTCACACAAAAGTAAATTTGATTTAGCAGAGCATGATATCTTCCATAACATAAAAGTAACTGCTACATGATGGAAGTTTTTGTGAACAAAATACAAACATTTTATAAATACTTAACCTTAATGACTAACTTCACTTCAAATTAATCCAATAATGATGGAAACAATAATGTAATTGAGTACTGCAAATTTACTTTGTATAATATTTCTAAGTAAAATCTGAAATTTTATAATAAGGTGAAGGACTTTACATTATTTAAACAAGCCCCACTTCTGAAAGCGAGGACTTAGACGAGACATACAGGACATTAAAACATGCATTACCATATTCTCAAAATTATTACTCTCAATGCTGTTCTTTTGCTTACTCAATGTATATTCCTATGTTTATCTAAAGTTTAAAATTAAGCAAAAAAGCAATATTAGTTTAATCCTGATTTTGAACAAAACTCTGTGGACTTTGAAGGCAATCAAATACAGGTTTCTCTTTTTAGGAGCAAATCTGAAGAAAAGAGACCTGTGTCTGATTGGCCTCGAAATCCGTAATTTTATTCAAAAACTACATCAAATTGAGGTTGCTTTTATGCCTCATTTTAAATATGATTATAATAATAAAATACACATTTAATTATATATATAACAGTGAAATTTAAACCAACATTACGAATTATTATCTATAAAAAATTTCAATTTTTAATCTATTCTTAGGCACTGAAATTAAAGCTTAAATCATATAATGCCTGAATTTCAATATTTTGATTTATTTATAAAACAAATTAGGTCCATTTTTAATATGAAACATTTTTTTATGAAAACTATAAAAAACTTAAAAAAAAAACATACATTTTAAAAACTGGATATCATTGAATGGTAGTTTGGTAAACCCAATGCCTTTTACATGCTGTGGGGTCAACAGTTGTGTTGGATTAGGCACATTAAACAAGGCTTTAGTTTTTTAAACCCATCTTTCCTAGAACATTCAAAATGTACCTTCAAATTTAACAAAAGCATGTATGAAGTTTAACATTAAAAGCATTAGTATTTAATTACAGTTACATGTATTAAAGGAATTTAATCACACTATTAAGAATGCAATTTTCTGAAAAATTTTAACTTTTATATGAAAATAGGACAAAATTAAAATTAAATAATTAATGAAGCTGCTTAAAACATATTTCCTGTTCACATGTCGAAAATAAATTTAAAATAACTAGAATTAAAAATACAACACAAAAGTTTACTACTACATAAAGCATGATAATGGGATCAAAATGAATCATAAGTTATTTAAATTAATGCTTAAATTCTTCATATTACTTGAAAGACTCAGAATATATTTGTCTTACTATACAGAAAAACATAAACAATTTATAATTTATATTATACTAACCAAGTTTTAACACTGGTGCCAACAGATAGATTTGGTGGCAATACGTCAGAATCAAAATACAGCATACGACTTTTTAATTCACTATTTGTACAGTAAAATTTAAATTAAAAAACGCATATCACAATTCCAACCGAGACAAAGTTTACATAAAGTGTAGTATACAATTTTACAAAAAGTATAAAATATTAGCAATAGTAAAAAACAGTATTGGCGATATTTTACTGCAAAAATGCACACGCATTCCGCAATTGATTTTGTATTTGTAAAATTATTTCACTGGCAATATGTGACAGCTAAATGAAAGTAAACATTCTGAAGAAATAATAAAGGGAATTTTTCTCATATGCTATGGAAAAAAAATATGAAGCTGCACTTACCTCACAAAAACATGCTCATGTGACTGGAATCCATTGATCTCGACCAGAAATAATTGCCCATGTTCTTCGTCTTTTTTCATTTTTTGTGAAACAAAACATCCTAAAGTTATTTCTAGAATGATATGAACAATTTGGTGCAGCACATCTATCCTGGATATGATCAACAAATCAGGTCGAACAAAAGAATGCTGAACTAATGGCAAGTAGCAACAAAGTCAGAATAATAGAAATACAAAAATGACCTGTTTCTGGCATTTACTTATGAAGTTAGCTGCTACACAGCAGGAATGATTGTTACATCCTTCCTTGCATTCATCCATTTTATCTCGCTGAGCAGTTTCAATACAATTATAATCAAAACTTTCGTCTTATCCGTACGCCACACGGAAGCCATGATCATCAGTTGTGACGTCACGCTGTGGATACTTCCTTGGCTTCAATTTTGTGACATAAAGCATACTGCATCTATTCTAACCTTTTTGATTCTGCCCTCCCACACGAGTTTCTTGCAAAGCGTCACATGATCTCATATGTCATACTGTTTCTATATATTTCTCTTCAAGTGGTTAAAAATTCAGGTTAAAGGGCACCATTTTAACTTTGTTGCAAAGATCCAACATGAAAAATACTGGGAATACTTTATGGCTATGCAAGGGGATTACTTTGAAAGCTGATAATGTGTACAAATAGTTTCTTGTCATCATAGTTAATCTCGAAACCTTTTGATACCCTTTTGTATTAGCATAGAATTGATGGGAAAATACTCTGGTTATTAAGGAAAAAACACAAAAATGGTGATTGCACAAAAAGTTACATGTATAATTTAATGAAACTGACCCACAGTATACAACATACAGTAAGATATAAAATATCATTAAAAGAAATTACCAGACAATTATGATATTATACAAATTAGCATATGTATAAAATGATCAAACCAGATGTGTCAATTTGGTATAGGAAAATTATCTTCAGTGTTGAGTGTGATCTTCCCTAGAAGCAGTATAACTCGTACAGCCATGTCCGATGCTGTCAATTATGCAGTCACTGCCTCCACCATATGCATCTCTTTCATGATGTTTGATAGATGAAAACGGGGGACTAAACCCGGATTCAACCGTAAAGAGAACAACCCTCCATTGATCAACTGTCCTGTAGGCATGTGAACATGCTCACATCTAATGTTCCCTTCTGTGATGTGACGGGAACAGCATGCAAATGGCTGGTTGCCTTGCATGTATAGACCTCCTTTGTGAAGCCTTCTATGCAAGGTTGATGTTGACACCAAAGCACAGTGGTTGGTTGTCCTGGATGCTATATCTGTAATTAGAAATTGTTTATAAAGTCAATGAACAATAAAAGGACTCTCATTTAGCCATCTGGCCTCTTCTGTTTGACTTTGACCTGCCTCTAGTCCCCCAGAAGCTCTCCATCACAGTTTTTCAGGCAAATGATGCCTGGAGGTCATTGTTATAAATTGGCCATTGCAGATTTCTTACCTCAATATAACATCAAAATTTTCAGGCTTTCTCTGAAACATGCAATTTTATGCTGCTCTCAGATGATGTTTTTCGATTGCAGCACCACTAATTTGCATACTGCAGTTTTACTCAGCAATTCTTATTTGACAACATATTCAAATTTTATATGGATTAGCTAATTTCTGAAAGAGTTATCTCTGTATCTGTGATTTTTCTATAATTTTTAGAAATCAGTGTAGAAGATATTCAGACTTGGGTGATAATGTTATGGCAAACACATTGAGACTGTACTTCAAATGTTTTTAATATTGAAATATTGAGAATACTTTTGTAATGATAGGTAGAAATTTGTGGTGTTCTAATGCTAAGTAAAGCTAAAAGCTGTCACTTTTACCATACAGTGTGCGTGCCTGACTTTAATTAAAAGTACACTCGTAATTTGTTTTTATTTCAGTTTGCTTAAAATTTAGTCAAGTTTCAGTTGATTTTTTTTTTTTTTTTTTTTTTTTTTTTTTTTTTTTTAATTTTATTTTATTTAATGATGATAAGTGTATACAGGAAAGCTCAGAAATTTGCTTGTTGTCTTTGGTAGTTTTACCTTGTTTTTGTTTTCCCTTTGTGTGTGTGTGTATGCAGTAAATTGATATACATGCTTAATTTCTGGTTTAAAGTCTTCAGTTTACTTGCTTTAGAGGCAAATTTTTAAATTTCTCCTTTCCATAATCTGACCTTGATTATTTTCATTTCTTATTTCAGGAATGGTCACATGCTTACACATAGAAATAAGAAACCATTTGAATGTGATGCCGAAGGTTGTGGGAAAAGTTACTGTGATGCAAGATCTTTGAGGAGGCATAAAGAAAACCATCATTCCAATACATCATCAAATAACTTATCTGCATCTTTGAGTAGCCAAGTGTCTGTGATACCAGGTTTAGCACACTTAGGCTTCAACTCTCTTCAAACGTCTTTTCCTGCAAGTGTTATCACCAGCAGTTCTGGACCTGCTTTTACAGAATCCTCTTTGGCTAACAGAATACAGTACGCACCTCCTCCAACTACAACATCTCTCTCAGGTCGTGCCTCATCTGCCAATACTGAGAATTTATCTCGGACAGTTAGCAGTTCTGTTGTTAGTTCTGTGATACCAACAGCTGCATCACACCTTCAATTTCTTACATTCCAACAACAGCCTTCTAGTAAAGGACAACAGCAAGTAGCATCATCATCACCAAAGAATATTACTCGATCTGATAGTAATACTGTTCTCACTTCATGGCAACCCCAGACAATCAATACTGGTGCTCTGCTCCTCGCACAAAACTTTGGAGCTTCACAATCCATTGGTCAGACACAATCTACACAGCTGCTAGCTAGGAGCTTTGAAACATCTAATACAGAACAAGGGAATTCATCAGGTTCGGAGCTTTCTCAATCACAGTTAGGAAACACAAAGCAGGAGAAATCGGATATATTATCTCAGGACACTAGAGATCAAAATCGTTTAGAACAACCTGTTTTATCAGAAACCTGCTTTGAAGTTGTAAATTCATCATCAGGAGCAAAACAAATTGTTGCCCTTACTCCTCAAGGATCAGTGAATTTGCAGTTTGACTCGGGCTCCGGTACAGTGGTTCGACTTCAAGAGCATGCTGCTGATTCCCTCTATTCTCGTTCGTCGATGCAAATTGTAAAAATTGAGACGTCTGATCAAAGTAGTACTGCCTCTTCAGTTCCAACCACTCCAACTTCCAAGGAATCAAACAACTGTACTCAGCTTGGAAGTCCTTTGTTACAACAGTTGCTTAACCAGCAGCAAAATGCAGAAGTTAGTACTGCAGGCATTGTAAATTCTCGTTCTGAACAATCATATCTGCCCTCAATGCAAGAACAGCAGAAACAGTCATCTGCACAACAGTCATCAGTTTTAATATCACCATGGTCCCAGGTATAAAATTTATTATTATCATTTTTTTGTATGTGTGTATAACTAATTTAATTATAGTATACATGTTTACATACTAGGATCATTCCAGGAGTTTTGTCACTTACATAAATAAAGTTTAAAGTAATACCATTGGGTTGTTTAATTATGGCAGAGCATATTTTGATACATACAAGATATCGGAGATCACTAATAACACAACAGCTGGCATCATCTCTCTGCTGATGCAAGATGGCCCATATCCTGCCAAACTGTGTAATGCTGACTACATGAAGGTGGACTGTATGCATGATGACCTGTGGTTTGTGCTTCTTAGTCCCTGTCGCATATCAGAACATGGTTGAGTGTGAGCCCGTGGATGCTGTTGGACACCAGAACAATGGTGTCGCATACTGTTTATGGATGAGTCTTATTCTAACATCCAGAACAATTCCTGAAGTGTAATGATATGGCAAGAGCCAGAAACATATTATCGGGTGCCAAACATCATCAAAAGAGACAGAGGAGGAGGCTTACTTGTATGGGCTAGGATAGCAATGAACGGCTGCGCCAACCTCTGTGTGATTAATAGTGGTTCCATTACAGCTGGTTGATATCGCAATGAAATTCTACACCCTTTTGTATGTCCTTGTATCCTTGCAATAGCTACCGACGTGATATTTATAGACAACTAACAGCTTCGCTGCCAGTCTTCGTCTGGCTTTTAAATGTACCAGAAAAATGGCTGAAGGGAACACCAAACATTAAATTTAAAAACTGCGTAGAATTTTACTCTGCAGAACAACTCCATACAAAAAAAGGTATTACGTATAACAAAATTACAATGAAATAAGCAATACCCCTTAATACAAATATTAATTATCCTAATAAATAAATTAACCAACTTCCCTTTGCAAAATCTCAAGAACTGAAATGGTATAAAGGAGGTTAAGAACTTTGTTTCCTAAAAAATCACTCAAAACTTTTCAATATCTTAAAAACAGTGAAATGAGCAATAAATCACATAAAAGAATACAAAAAACAAAAAATTCTGAAAAGCAAAGTATAATTAATGATATTTTATCTTATATTTTCAAGAGAAAAAAATTACAATGAAATAAGCTATATCCTTAATACAAATATTAATTATCCTAATAAAAAATTAACGGTAAAAGTATAGTTTAGGGTACCCTTTGGTGAAACTTTGCGATTTTTGGCAGTACATGGATACCAATTTTGTGCAATTGTTTGTCTTGTTATTTTGACTTGTGAAGTGGCGATTTTTGGCGCAAAAATCGCCGCTACACAAAGCCAAAATAACAAGACAAACAATTGCACAAACTCGGTATCCATGTACACATTGACTTATTTTCACCTAAAAAAAAAAACCCCAGATTACACAAAAATGGCATTGCGCACTCCTTTGACTTTATCCATGTACACGTCGACCTATTTTCACTTTAAAAAAAATCTCCGAATTGCACAAAAATGGCATTGCACACTCTTTTAACTTTGTCCATGTACACGTCGACCTATTTTGACTTAAAAAAAATCCCAGAATTCCACAAACTTGCATTGCGCATTCCCTTTATTTTGTTCACGTACACATCGATATATTTTCACTTAAAAGTCAAAGGAGCACCAAAGTCTACAATATAGGCAAGCAAAAAATACATAATCTCAATAAAATACATTTTAAACCAAACAGTAAAATAACATAAAAAAGGAAAAACATATTATACATTTAAGCACTACCAAAAGCAAATATTCACTTACCATGATTTTCGAGTTCGCTTCGTACACTCAGAGCCATGTAAAACACGTAAATCAATCATACTCAAATGACTTTTTTCAAACCAGGTACTCTTTCTGATCAAGCGCTTCACATAGTGACCATCTGAACCTTTCTTCTTACAAATCCATCTAAACGGTTTTAACACACACCACAAAAACGCTTACTAAACATCCCATGATTCAAAATTTCCCAGAATCATGCACCCGATTACGTCACAATAGGGTTTCCATAACATTCAAACTACTCAGGCTACCATAAATGAAACAACAACTTCGCCATAATACAAGGGGTACTATAATACAAGTCTACCCTACCCAAATTAACCAAATTTCTGTTGAAGAAAAAAAAATCATGCAAAACCTTTCAATATCTTACAAACTGCAAAATAAGCAAAAAATAACATGAAAGCAACTCAAAAAACATAAAATTCCACGCAGAATTTTACTCTGCAGAACAACTTTATCCAAAAAAAAATCACTAAAATTGTATTATATATATATATATAAATGACAATGAAATATGCCAGTCTCTTAAAAACAGTGATATAAGAAATACGATGAAAAATTGTTGCCAAACCCATATTTCTAAAAGAATGAAACTATTCAAAATGATGCAATTTCATCAAAAATCTATCAGCAACAATAAGACAGGAAAATTGTTGCCAAAATTCCATTTTTAAAGATGTGAGATGTGAAAAGTGTACTCGGAAGCTTCATTTAAAAAATTTTTTCTTTAAATACGAAATATTATCATTTTTCCAAAATTCTTTTTGTAAAAGCAGTCGCAAGGATGAAATTTTAACGTGTCCAAAAATCAAAGAAAAATAAACTTTTTTAGAAAAAATCCCATTAAAAAGGTGTTAAGCTAACTTTGTTAAATAAATTAGTATTTAATCGATTTATTGAAACACAAAATTTCTTTTAAGTTCGTAAAATAGCTAAATACCTACGTTTCATGACGATGTGAAAATGGAGTGTGTAGAGTAAAATCTTGCTTTCCTCTAACCCATTATGTCTCAAAATGACGCGAATACTCTAGAGCGGACCTGAATACTCTAGAGCATGTGTGGGACATATTGGTATGATGGATAGCAGTTTGCAGTGTGGCACCAGGCACTTTCCACAAGCTTTGACATGCATTACTTCAGGAATGGGCACTACTGCTACAGCAAGCAGTGAGCAATACTATTGCCAGCTTGCTAACTGTTGTCAAGTAGGTATTTCAGCTAAAGGGTATCATACTGTAATTATTGTGATATTTCCATTGCACATTCTTCCAACCCATTTGGTCTTCAGCAGTGGGATGGTTGTAATACATATGTTTTTGTATCTGATGGTTGTAATGCATGTGTTCTTCACTTTGCTTTATGGTTCACTGTGTTTTCTGCTAATGCCACAGCAACCTTGTGAATTGATTTCAAGCATATCCACTAAATAGTTTTTGTCCTCCACAAAGGCATCCTATCCCTTAGGCGGGTAGCCTTAGCATGCTTTGCCATAATTAAAATAAGCAAAACAAACTAAAGTTTGGGATATGGTAACTTAAAGTTATCTGAGGCAATGTATTCTTCACTTGGTAGACCACTTGTATTTGTCAAATCACCAGTCATAAAATTTAGAATCTATTTTAATAAAATTAAGACATATTCCTAGGCACAATCAATTTAAGTGCCAATAATTTGCTAACTGTCCAGGGTGGAATTTTGGAGCACCTTTCCCCCAAAAAAAGGAAAGAGTTGCCAACAGATGAATAAAACATTTGGAATGGCCTGATAATACTCCATACCTATACTTGATCAAAGCCATGTGCAAATGATTTTGTGCTCACATATACTTATGTTGGCTAGAGATCAAAACTGTCAGTTGTTGTAACTGTAAGTGAAAAACAGCTTGATATGTCAAATTAGTTTCTAGTAAACTATAATTCTGCACAGATCATATGCAGTCTACCCAGGGTCATATGAGAAATGGTGGAAACAGTGTTTCAGATTTTAAGTCAGAATGTCAAAATAGGCTAAAATTTCTCTGCTTAATTTAGGGAGAGACAGTGGAATGATATATGTCCATGAAAAGTTTAAAATCAGTTGTGAATCCTGTTTCATGGATCTAAGCCCACTAGCAAATGTAGCACTGTAGCTTCTTACTTTGGGAAGGTCCCATATTTGACACTTTCCTAAAGAAAGAAACTAAAAATTTCTTGCTTTGCACCACACAATCATTTTATGCATAGCATTTTATCGTGAATGAGTACGGGAAATTAAATTCATAATTTTTTTCTCAGAAATCACTTTTTAACTTAATATTTAAGAATTTCTGTAGCTTCAAAGCAATTGTATCAAAATAATTTGAACTGAAAGTAGTTTGACATATAACATCATGAATTCTACTTTATTGATTAAAATCTGTCCTATGGAACTAATAATGAGTAATGTTATTATATCAACTCATGAATTGCTGTAAGAAAACAAAAACTTATCGGTAAATAAAATTAAATGTTTTGATAAAAATATAAGCTTAAAAAAGTACTGGAAATTCTTTTAGCATTAGATACAGCTTTTATCTCTAATTACTTCATTTTGTTATATATTTAAGAAATATGAGTGTAAAATTTTTTCTTCAGTCTGTTCATCTTTGTTTTAGGTGCCATATGCAGTGCCTAATTCGGCATCAACATCTCGCTACAAGTAAGGCATTTTCATTGTTGTGTAAAAGTGTTAATGTGTACTTAAAATAATTGTCTAAATCAGCGGTTCTCAGCCTTTTGACTAACACGTACCATCTAAACAAAAATTGAAAAACCTTAGTACCACCACTATATTTTACAATGATTATTTTTCAAATTCTCAAAAGAAATAGTTAAAAATATATATTTTTTGCCATTTGCACAACTTATTGTCTATTTGTATTAAATATGCACATATAAAAAGTGTAAATTAGATTAAAAATTGGTTAACATTTTAATTATCAAAATTTAAGTTATAATACTTAAAATTCTAAAATTTAGTGTAAAATTTGGATTTGTATGAATCAGAATGGCAAAACTCCAAACTCAGATGAATGCTTGTACAACTATAATGTGGCATCTCAACTCTGTGTGGAGAGGCATTGTCCTCTGGGATCAGGCTCAGTTCGTCAGCGTGAATGCAGGGCATGAACAATTATACTTTCACATGTTGTTAACTTGTCACAGACATTTTTGTATGTACCAGGGTATCTCAGGATTTCAAGCGATTGTATACAGTGGGTGGGTTGATGCAGGTATTATCTCAATGGCAGGTTTCTTGCTGGCATTTTTTCCATTGAGTATAATTGATATGTAAACAAGATATTTTATTACACAGATTTATCACATAACATACTTACTTTTACATATAACATTGCCTTACTCTGTAAAGTTTGACTTTGGCTTTGTTGCTATACCTCGCCATATTGCTGAGCATGCACATATGAAACTACTGGATCAGAGTGCATCACATTTATAAGACTTAGAACTAAAACTTGGCTGTGTCTTTTAAAAAAACTAACGATACTCGCTATAATAATAATGAACAAATATTTGATATTTATAACCATTATATATGTTTACCTAGTTATGGTTAATTTTATTTAAATATCATTTAGTTATATAACTTTATTAATTAACTAAATAATACCATACAGTCAAAAGTCGTTAATCTGGACTCGTCGGGACTTCGGCGATTCCGGATTATCGATTTTTCCGGATTATAGATCATCAGTTTAAATCTGGTAAGATGGCATGCAAAAACTACAAAATTAAAAATATGAAACCGTAATTTATGAAATAAAGAACAATTATGATCTAAAGGGTATCAAAATTTAAAAAAAGAAAAACTTAATATTTATTTGTTTACTTATTAAACATTTCCTTCAATGTAAGTTGCTTGCTGTTCGTTTTCATGTGATAATACTTTCTCTTTAATTCTATTAAACAGACATAATTTCTTGTTTAGTTACAAAGTTCCGCTGTTTCAAGTCCTATAATTGCTGTGTTGAGAATACCGACTAATTTTGTCAATCGAAATGTTTTCGTTTTCAATAACCTCTGGGTCACTTTCTTCACTATCGGAAGCGAATTATAATGACGAGGAACTTGATTTAAATCATATCAAAGACGGAGTACATCGAGATGAAATACTAAACTTAGTACGGAATTATAATCCAAATAAAATAAAAACATCTGCTCTGAAGATAAGGATAGTGTTAACAGATCAACTTCCAATCCGCCGCGTGAAATTGATAAACAGATTTCGGATTTCAAAACATACTTTCGCTTTGTAGATACAAATTACATATTAGTAAATATATATTGGAAATTCTATTTGACATAATCTTTCTAATCTATCATAATCTAATAATGACGTTTCTGCCCCCCCCTCTGCTGCTGCCGCAGAGCAGCGTGAAATTGATAAACAGATTTCGGATTTCAAAACATACTTTCGTTCGCGTTGTAGTAAATATATATCGGAAATTCTATTTGACATAATCGAAAGTTCAAGCTTACTTTTATAAAATTGCTCTAACAGTCTGCAAAAAATAATAAGCCGGATCCAATTCGAAGATTAAGGAACAACGCAATCTGCAACATTAACTGAATTAGATAACTTTAGCTTAGCGTATAACTCCGTTACACATTAAACGCGCATGCGCACAAACATATTCGCAGCCGTAAGGGTCTTACGCGCTCTCGTAAACGCCTGTGCGCATGCGTGAACGCGACGCATGCGCAGAAAGTTTGTAGCTTTGAGGTCCGGATTATAGATCATTCCGGATTATGGGTGTCCGAATTAACGACTTTTGACTGTATTTAATTGTAACTATAAACAATAAACATTCTAGTTATGCTTATTACATTCCAATTATCAATAGAAAAAATGCACAAATTTTTTTCAATTACTGTTTGTTACATGTATTCTGTTCTTTAAATAATCTCATTTTCATATGCATTTTCTTTTGCATACATAAATGTATGCAAATGTAAGTAATGCTCCTGGAAGGAAATTAAAAGAGTTCTGGATCAGTCCAGTGTTTTGCTTTCAATTTGGAAAGAAAATTGGCATACTTTCCTTACTGGTATGTAATGTCAATTTGGAATTTCATCATTGTAATCTAGCACTATGTGAAAAGCACTGGCATAGAAAAGTTAGCAAATTTCTTTAAAACATAAATTATAGCAAAAGCTTCCTTTTCTTTCATGGTGTAATTTCTTTGTTCGTTATTTAGATAGTTTTTTACTTGTAAATGCTCTACACCATTTTCATCTTTTTTGTCCTAAGCATGCTGCTACAATGTAAGATAAAGCAACTGAGTAGATCATGAATGGTAGGTTATAATTTGGTGTATAGCATCCAGGAGCTTCACCAGTAACCTTGTTAAGTGCCATGAAAGAATTTTCATATTCTTGCCATTTGATTTTATTCAGTACAGTCAAAAGTCGTTAATCCGGACTCGTCGGGACTTCGGCGATTCCGGATTATCGATTTTTACGGATTATAGATCATCAGTTTAAATCTGGTAAGATGGCATGCAGAAATTATAAAATTAAAAATATGAAACTGTAATTTATGAAATAAAGAACAATTATAATCTAAAGGGTATCAAAATTTACAAAAAAAAAAAAAAAAAAAAAAAAAAAAGCTTAATATTTATTGTTTACTTTATTAAACATTTCTTTCAATGTAAGTTGTTTCGTTTTTTATGTGATAATACATTCTCTTTAATTCTATAAACAGACATAATTTCTTGTTCAGTTACAAAGTTCCGCTGTTCAAGTCCTATAATTGCTGTGTCTACCGACTAATTTGTCAATCGAAATTTTTTCGTTTTCAATAACCTCTGTCACTTTCTTCACTATCGGAAGCAAATTATAATGAGGAGGAATTTGATTTAAATCATATCAAAGACGGAGTACATCGAGATGAAATACTACATTTAGTAAGGAATTATAAGTCAAATAAAATACAAACATCTGCCCTGATGATAAGGATAGTGCTGACAGATCAACTTCCAATTCATTGCGCGCGTCGGCGTTAAAGATAAACAAAGTTTAGATAAAGAAACGTTAAAGTTTAGATAAACAAAGGATATGCCTTTATCCATTTTTTGCAGCAATTCCACATTTTGTTTAATGAACTTCGAAACATACTTTCGCTTTGTAGATCCTTTACATATTAATAAATATATATCAGAAATTCTATTTGACATAATCGAAAGTTCAAGCTTACTTTTATAAAATTGGGTGCTACTTTGTTAGACGGTTGCACGGATTTTTGGTGAATTTTTTTGGCGAGCGACACAATTTATGGTAAACCCATTGCTGGCCAAGTTATTTATGATAACCGATACTTTGTTGCCATTTTATTTAAAAATAATGCGTTTTATTATCTATAAATTCCATGTTTTAAATATTATTTATGGCTTCTAAATATTAAAAACCAATTTAATTTTGCATTTTTATTTGAAATAAATTTTTTTTGTTTATAATATTTTATATATGGTGTAATCAATGACGTCGTACTTTAAAAGTAATTGGTTTTAATATCTATAAATTTAATGTAATGTTTTAAACATTATTTATGTCTGTTAAATATTAAACTACAATTTAATTTTGCATTTTTTTAAATGCTTTTATTATGTATGATTATTTAAATAATTTTAATTCTATGGGTGATGTAATCAGCTCCCTGATTGGTTACAGAATATTTGTGCATTAACGAACTGTAATCAGCTCCCTAATTCGTTACCGAACATTTGTGCATTACCGCGCCATTTTAAAATTTCATTCTTTATCTAGTCGAATTCTTCATCTTTCAAAGCGAACGGATACGTCTCTTTCAAAGATGAATGTTGTTATTGGTAAGTACCAAGAATTATTGTTATCGGAATCAAAAAATTGCCCTTTGAGATTTTTAATTTTTGGAGGAGACGTCGCTAATCAGCAATGACAGCTGATTAGCTTTAAAAATAATTATATCCTGTAAAACTTATTTTAAAGTATTTGAGTTTAAGTAATACTTTAATTCTCTTAAACATTGGTATGATGTTTTTAATTCGATATTCAATTTAAGTAATATTTTAATCCAATTAAACGTTGGCGCAATGTTTTTATAGCGGTGTTTTTATTCTATTTCTTTGCTATATGAAAGTAATAATTTAATCTTACTTTATTATTTTATACTCGTTGTAAATGTATTTATTTACATTTGCCTGCCATCTTAAGAAACATTTTTAACAAAAAATTAATCCATTATTTTTAGCTTTTTTTTTTTTTTTTTTTTTTTTTTTTTTTTTTTTTTTTTTTTTAAGTTTCGAATACTTTATTATGCGCAAAATACGTAAAAACAGAGTTTTTCAAGATGGCTGACGACTGTAAAAATCACGCCAACATTTGCACTACGTAAATCGCCAAAAATCCATGCAACCGTCTACCAAAGTAGCACCTAAAATTGCTCTAACAGTCTGCAAAAAATAATAAGCCAGATCCAATTCGAAGATTAAGGAACAACGCAATCTTCAACATTAACTGAAATAGATAATTAGATAATTTTAGCTTAACTTATACCGTCCGTTATACATTAAACGTGCACTCGTAAACGTATTTTACGCACGCGCACAAGCATATTCGTAGCCGTAAATGTCTTACACGCATGCATCAACACGAAGCATG